ATGCAGCTGGGACTCAAAGGCAATTTGCAGAGAAAAAAAATGCAATCCCAGATGTGTGTTTTGGGCAAGGAGGGCATGAGCTAAGGCTGGCGCTGCCCAAGAGAACTGGGGTCTGCAGTGGTGAGGAACACAGAGCACAGGGCTTTGGGGGCCTCTCAGCTTTGTCTACAGCCAAAATCCTGCCTCAGCTGAGTGGGAGGTAGACAAAAAAAATGCAATCCCAGATGGGTGTTTTGGGCAAGGAGGGCATGAGCTGAGGCTGGTGCTGCTCAGGAGAAATGGGGTCTGCAGTGGTGAGGAACGCAGAGCACAGGGGTTTGGGGGCATCTCAGCTTTGTCTGCAGGCAAAATCCTGCCTCAGCTGAGTGGGAGGCTGCCACCCTGTAAGGAGCAGCTGGCACTGGGGGAACGATCTTGTCACCTATCACTTCTGCGGCTCTTCCACGTTACTTTCTTGCAGCCAGCCAGTTGTCCATGCACTGCCGCAGGCAGCCGCTCTGCAGGACACGGCAGTGAGGGCAGACACCTCCAGGTAGGACCATCCTCAAATTTCAGATGTCCTCTGCAGGAGGGGCTTCCTGGGAAAGCAGCTGCACGGGTGAGATGGGGAGTGGGGAGAGCCGGTAGGCAGCAGTGACCACATCAGCTTGGCACCTCCATAACAGGGAGGGAGGGCAGCTTTGAAGCACTAGCCCTTTGGACTGGCTCTTCCCTTTCTGCTCCTGATGGGAAAGCCAAGGGAATGCCTGGCTCAAGGATATCACGTGCAGAACACACAGGGAAACATCTCCCCATGCCATGACACTGCTGTTCATCTTTCACCCATGTCTATGCCCATGCAGCCACCCTGTCCCCCAGCTCAGCACCCCGGAAAAGGCACCAGCTCTTCCAACAGAGTCCAGAAAGGAGGATCCCTCCAGAGACGCCAGCGTCCTAGGTGCGTTTCACATGGGCAGTGGGTTTGGGCAGCAATAGGCAGAGGATTCCCTCAAGGAAACCAGCAAGGTGGTCCCTGGCCAAGCAAAGACTGCCCAGGCTTTGGCCAGTTCCCACTGCTGTGTCTGAATCATGGGCATGTCGCCTTTCCAGCTTCCACAGCCTTATTCTCAGGAGAGCAGGAGACACCAGGGCCTGTCGCGCTCACTCAGGTAGGTCTCTTGGGCCCGTGGTCCCCGGGAGAGGTGCAGGACCAGGAACATCACCTGAGCAGCATTTGTATAATGCCCTTGGGATATTCATATATTACATTAAAAAAGCATCAGGGGCTCCAGCTTATGAGCGACTTTTCCTTCAATCCTGGGGTAAAGATGCCCTAAGATTGTTTCTAGGGAGCTGAAGGGGAATCAAAGACTTTGAAAGAGAAGTCAGCACACACTTGGTCCTTCAAGCCTCCGTTTCTAGCCTAGCTGGGCCTCCTCGCAGTGGACTCATTTAGGACCCATTTAGCATTGGGAGAAGGTTGGAGAAGGGCAGGAGAAGAGAGACCACAGCAGCTTAGGATGTTGCCCAGCTAGAAGGAGACTTCTCGCAGAACTGGACTCACTCCAAAGCCTGAGCACATCCTTGCACCTCCACAGGCTGCCGTCCCCCGGACACACGTGCCAGCAGCAGCACCACAGCCGCAGGTGAGGGACACGTGTTCCCACAGGGTTCACTGGCCATGCTGCAAAGCTGCTGGTCCTGAACACCTCTGTCCTCTCCACCCACAGACCGAGCCGCTGGCCCTGGGCTTGTTGCACGGGAAGGGGCTGGGGGCTCCCGTGCTCCAGCTCCCCGAGGACGGGATGGGCTGTCAGGCAGCGCTGCTCAGTGCCCAGGCCCACGTGGCAGAGCTGGAGAGACAGGTGAGACCCGTTACAGGGGCCTGGATGTGGAACGCCGTGGGAGGAGAGGAGCCATTTCTGCTCCAAAGGGTATCGGAGTGCCAGGGGAGAGGGGAGGAACCTCCTCAGCAAGAGGTACCTGGAGCTGAGTCCTGCTTTGGGAACTCTGTCCCCATGCCAGACTGGATGGGAGAACACGTGTTCCCAATGCAGCACAAGGAGCTTCTCCCCTGGGTGTCCCACAGGTCCAGGCACTGGAACTGGAGCGGATGCAGCAGAAAGTGTTGCTGGAGAATCTCCAGCAGCGACACCAGGAGGACTTGGATCTCCTTGAGAGCGCACACAAGTATGGCTCCCTTCCCTCTCCTGTGCCGAGTCTTTGCCTACCTCCCTGCCAGTGCTCCCTGGGGTGGGAGCATCGGGGAGAGGTCCCCAGGTCCATCCCTGGGGCAGGCAGGCACGTAGCCACGTTCATGATGGTAAAGAGCAGCCCCGGGGAGAGCGGATACGGGGGGCTGCTCTCACCCAAGCTGTCACACGTGGCAGAGATGAGAGACAATTCCCACTGCCAGCAAGCTTCAAACCAGGGCACCTCCTAGGTGGGAGCGTGAGAAACGAGGGCTCAGGCTGCAGAGAGCAAATTGCCCCGCGCCTCCGTTTCCCCATGCCCACAACAACCCACGCTGGCACCCAAAGTCCTGGACGCCGCCTGGACGGGGGGGCACCAGGGTATCCCCACGAAGCCCCTCCTGGTTTCACAGGAGCCGGGTGAAGGTGGTGGAGGAGACGTGCGGGCAGCGGGCAGAGCGGCTGCAGCAGGAGAAGGAGCAGCTGGCGGCGCAGCTGGCGGCGCAGGGCCAGGCGGCGGAGCGGGCGCAGGCAGAGCTGCTGCAGCGGCACCAGCAGCAGCTGCGGGCCCTGGAGCAGCAGAGCGCGCAGGAGCTGCAGCGCCTGCAGGAGCTGCAGAGGTGAGCGGGCACGAGGCCACGGTGATGGCACCCCTGGGGGCTCTGTCTCAGCGGAGGACCCGGGCAGTGGCTTGAGGACCCTGCGAAAGATGAAACGAACTCCCCCCGGGTCCCACAGGACATCCGTCCAGGAGATGCGCAAGGACCACGAGGAGCAGCTCCAGCGGCTGAAGAGGCTGAAGGACCAGGAGATCGACGCAGTGACCAGCGCCACTTCGCACACCAGGTACCCGTGGCCTGAGCAGTCTCCCCACATGGATTCCCAGACACTGCATTCCCTGTTCCACCAAGAAATGACCTCGGACCACAGGGTCCTTGCCCTCTCCAGCCGTTTGCTGCCCCTTGCACTCACAGCTTTCATGGGAGATAGGAGGGAAACTACACATGTCCCCAATCGAGGACTAACGTCCTCAGCACCGAACCAACTCCAACCCATCAGCGCTCCCCTAAGGAGCAGAACATCTTGTTTCTACTTTGTTGCAACACGGAAAGACTCAGAGCAGCGGGACAAAGCGCGTTCCCCACAAGTGGCCTCTCTGCAGGTCTCTGAACGGTGTCATCGAGCAGATGGAGAAGTTTTCCAGTGACCTGCACAACCTCTCACACCGCGTAGAGGCCACACACCACAGCACGTCCCAGGAACTGGCCATGGGGGCCCAGCAGCGTGACAAGCAGCTCAAGGGTAGGTCTGCCTGGTGCCAAAGAGGTGTAAGGTCCTGAGGACACCTGGGGCTGGGTGAGGCATCAGCATTAGGGATGATGCCCCCATGGTAGGTTGGTTAGGGAGCCCAGGATGGCTAAGTCCTGCCTCCATGAGACACCTTGGGGTGTCTCCCTTACAAAGCAATGTCCTGTGGATGTGCAGCAGGCAGTGAGTGCAAAAGCACATGGGTTTTCCATGAACGTGCTGTGGGCAGGGAAGTTCTCCGCTTGGCATCGCAGAGGGTGGCAGTAATCCATGGCACACGTGGGGAAGGTTGAGGTGGGGTGGGATGGGATGGATGTCCTGCAGCTCGTGTCAGCCCGCAGATCCCAGCCCTTCTCTCCCTGCAGTGCTCCAGGACAGGCTGCTGCAGCAGCAGAGGGACATGGAAGAAGAGCGGGGCCGACTCCAGGAGGTTATTGCTAAAATGGAGGCAAGGCTGGGCGAGCAGACTCGGTTGCTGGAGCAGGTGAGCCCACCTGGTATCTTCTGCCTGCGCTGGCCCTACGACCACTCTAGGACCATCCTCCACGCAGGCAAGCTTGGGCAGGCTGAGGATCCCAGCTCTGACCTGGAGTTATGTCCATGTCCCCTCTGTCTCTGGGCCCAGGAGCGGTGGAGGGCAACAGCCGAGCAGTCCAAGGTGGAATCGCTGCAGCGCTCACTGGAAGAGCAGCGGAGAGTCATGACCCAGCAGCTCTCCATGGAGCGGGCAGAGCTGGAGAGGGCCAAGGTGAGACACGGACATCTCCAGGCACTTCTCAGACGTCTCGAGAGTCCAACTAGGGCTGCACTTTGGTGCATGGTGGAGGAAAGGGCTGGAACATCCCTCCTCTTTGCTCCACCCTCTGCCTCCTCAACCCCACGCTCGGTCATTTGGGAATCACAGATCAGATCAACCATGAGGTGCACGGGTGCAAGAGGCTGTTGTGTGTGTGCACTGTACAGGCTGGCCAAGGAGCCCAAGTTCTTCATGTGGAGCTCACACCCGGTTTCACGTCTTGACCAGCCCGTAGGCATTGCACGGGATTTAGCGGCAGAGAAGGGTTAGAGGAGGAAACAATGTGACCATGGGGCTTGGGGCTCTCATTCTCTCTTGCCTCACTCTCCCAGATGCCGTTGCTGGAGGAGCAGAAGTCGGTGATGCAGAGGTGCTCGGAGGAACGCCGCAAGCTGGCGGCCGAATGGGCCGAATTTCACACCCAGCAGCAGCTGAGCAAGGAGCGGCTGGAGCGCGACATGGAGCTGGCCCTGCAGCGGGACTCCCAGAGGGAGGGCACCATCCTGAGCCTCGCCAAGGTACCGCGGCAGAGCCCTGCCCGCAGCACCCGCTATCGCTGGGCTCCCTCGTGGGCCCTGCTTGCAGAAAAGTAGGGAGACAGTCAGCCCTGGCTTCAGAGGTTTAGAACAGAGACATCACATGGGCTCGGGGGTGAGAAACTGGCTGTTCCGAGGGCAGCCTCCTGGGCCTGTCTATGCGTCCGTCTTTTAGCATCAGTCACACCTGGGTCTGCCCCCTTGGTTGGGAGGAGTTTGAGCAGCCAGACCAGGCACAGCCACATCCATGAATGCCCAAAGGCTGGTAACCACCAAGGCGACGGGGGCACCGTGGCAATACCTGGTGGCTTCGCTCTGCTCCCCAGAGCACCTGCCAGCTCTGCAGGACAGATCCCTCCCATCACCAGGGAAGACGTGGGATAGCAGCCAGGACGGGTAACATCTCTCACAACGCTGCTCACCCTAGGAGCAGGCAGAGCTGAAGATCCGGGCTGGTGGGTTGAAGGTCAAGGAGGAGCAGCTGGTGAGGGACAGGGAGCTGCTGGAGCAGGCCTGGCAGGAGCTGCGGCTGGAGAAGGAGAAGGTGAACCGGGCTGCGCTGCACGTGCGGCAGCGCGCGGAGGAGATCGACACCATGAGCAAGGTAAGCGGGAGCCTCCTGGCTTTGGGGGCACAGTTGTGCCCAGGACAGACCTGATTTAAGCTCCATCACCTTGGAAGGGGTGTGAAACCCCAACTTTGCTGGTGTCCGAGCGTCCCTATGGACTAGGGCCAATGCTGCCATCCCCAGCTGTCCCAGGTGACAATGACACCTCCACCTCTGATCCCTGCTGGCACGGAGGTACCCACAGGGGTGATGATGGTGCCAACGGCTGCATGACCCTCCTCCCCTGTAGAAACCTGGTGGTTTTGCAGCAGGAAAGGCACAGGGGATGGGCACCTTTTTCTGGGATGGTACCAGCAGAGAGAACATGGGAAAGCGCAGCAGGGGGTTAAGGAGTGTGGGGCAGCTGGTCTCCCCCATGCTCCTCCCCAGCCCTTTTGCCTTGCAGCTCTCGGCACAGAAGTGCGAGGAAGGGGAGCAGGCGCTGCGGGAGGCCCGCAGGGTAGAGTCCGAGCACCAGGCCCGACTGCGGCTGGTGCAGCAGCAGCTGGAGCAGCTGAAGCAGCAGGAGCAGCATCTGCACCAGGCAAAGCCCCTTCACCTTCCCCTCTCAGCCTCAGGCTGCCGTGCCAAGGACCTGAACCTTTTCCAAGGGTCTCTCTCTCTCTCCCTTTCTCCCGGCGCCGGGGCAGGAGCGGCTGAGCGTGGCTCTCCAGAGGAGCCAGCTGCAGCAGCTACGCGAGGAGCTGCCCAACAGCCCCGCGCTGCTTCTGGCCACGGCCCAGGACGTCAGCGGTGCCACCACGGGCCTCTCCAGCACGCTGTGTAAGGGCTCCTGCATGCTGCTGGTGGCCATAGGGCAACCATGCTCGCGTTTCACTCCTCAGGAAGGCTACGACATTTCTGGGGGCTGTTTTAGTTGCCTCATCTATAAACCTCAGGGTTGGGTTGGCCTTGGCCTCCCCATTCTCTCAAGGGTTGTGCAGTTGAGCTCTCTGAGCCAGGGCAGTGCCAGGATGGGGCACAGGGTGCTGGGAGGGAAGGGATGGGTAGGTCATTTGGGGGAGGTTGGGAAGGATCCCACTGCAGGAGCACACAGCCAACAAAACAAGGGTGCTCCAATGTGTCTGTCCACGTGTTTCCTGATGGCAGCGTTGGTGCATGTTCAAGCTCTCATTCCAGGCTTTCCGACTCCCACCACGGCGTTCCCTAGATGCAACCCAGGCGGCAGCAGGGACAGCCTGGGCACGGCAGGCCCGTCGGAGCTCTATGCCAAGCTGCTGCTGCTCAAGCACAGGGCTCAGCAGGTGAGCGGCCCGGAGATGGGGCTGGAGTGGGTCTCAGAGCAGCCTGAAGGAGCAACCGCACGAAGCCAAACCAGGGCTGAGAGAGCACGGGGTGGGGAGGGCTTAGAGCAGGCAACGGCTGGTTCCTCTGCTATACGCAGAGGTACCAGAAGCAAGGACCATCAGCTCCCTTCATCAGTCTTCCATGTCCCTGCTGAGCCCTTCCCCAGGCAAGGAGGTTGTTTGAGGCACCCTCCATGGGTCACAGGAGCTCACGGGCTTTGAGGGGGAGCCCCTAGACGAGCTCCCTGGTTAAGCAGCTCCCTGCCTGCTGTGTGAGGGAGGGTTTGGGATACTCCTCTTGCCCATGAGTGACACCCCAGTCCAGGACCCCATGTGCCCTGTGGCACCCTTCGCATCCTGACACCCCTCTCCTCAGGATCGTGACTTCTTGGAAGACGAGCAGTTCTTCCTGGAGACCCTGAAGAAGGCGTCCTACAACACTTCATCTCTGTTGGCCTGAGACAAAGGCCACATCCTCCCCAAGGGAGCTGCTGCTGTGCCATACTCATGGCACAAAAACAAAACAACAACAATAAACAAACAAAACAAAAAAAACAGTAAATAATTCCAGTTCTCATCTGAGAAACTTCTGTTCTTTTAAAAAAAGCCTCAAGCAAGTTTGACAGCCTTGAATCTTCATGGGCCTCCTCATCCCCACTAGCAACCTCTGCTGTCTCCAGTGTTGCCTCTTCTCCCCATGGGGGGAGCAATGATTCTGCCTTTGGGGGGCTGCTGCGTTACGGAGGAGGGGGTTGGAGCTCCCCACCCTCGCGCTTCCCTCGTTGCTGCTTATGCCCGTGTAAAGCCAAGGCTGTGGGGAGAGCCCCTCGCCACGCGGCCGGGCTCAGGGGCGTCGTCTGCACGCTGGCTCACAGGGCTCGCGCCCTGGCCCTGCTGCTCGAGTGTGGCCTCCTGGCTGCTCTCAGCGCGCTCTCACATGGGGGCGGAGGAACCACCGCGAATTGTGTTCCCAGGGGAGCTGTGAAGGTGCAGGGTGGGTTGGAGAAACACCCGCCATGGCCGCCCTTCTCCCCGGCGCGAGGGCGCCTTTCCGACAGGCTCTGCCCCGGACAGCCCCTGTTGCTATGGCAACGAGGGCCTTTCCCGCCAGGGCCCTCCCGCGCAGCAGCTGTCGCTATCGCAACGGGGTCCTTCCGCTGGGGCGGCGCGCGCAATGGCGGCGCCCATGCTGAGCGCGGCGCTGTACGGCGTACGGAGCGGGGGGGCGGTCGGCACCGCCGGGGA